GCTCAAATTCGGGGCATGTCAGTTTATAACAGCTATAGCATTACAAAAAAAAATATATATATATAAAAGGATTTTATCTAAGCAGCGGTCACCAATCGGCAATCAAAGGGGAACCTCCGAGCATGTTCCTGCCATGAGAAAGCTTCTAAATAAAAAACCATGTTCTGTTCGAAGGCGGTGTTTAAACATCAAGACGACGCACACCACTAGTTGGAAGAGAAGCTCGACCAAAAGCCCAACAAAAATGTGAGCGAAAAATATTTTATTTTCTGAGTGCATCGAAGTTAAGGTCGTCTAGTAGAAGAAGTGGCTTACGGTTATCGCAAAAGGGCAGAAGAACATCATGTAAAAAATCCACCTTCATTTAAAATTGCTTGAAAACTTGCATACGACTTCGGTATGTTTCAGGTTGAGATCAATGCAATAAATATAGCAGCTTTATGTGTATATAAGTAATCAATCCGAGATCTAGACATTTCGAAAAAGTAGAAGAAACGGGCAATATCTTTCTTAGCACATCATCCATATATCTGGAACCCGAGCTTAATATACGACGAACACGGAACGTGACAATTCTGTAGGGGAATGCGAGCCGCCACAGAGATATTGACCATATGGACCCGAATTTGGGTTTCGGTTTTGCAAAATCAATTTTCTTGATCGAGCATATGGCAAGCCCAAAAATGCGCTTCGAATTTCTAACGAGCGCCAAAGATCGGGACGGTTTAAGAGACATCTGGAGATAGGTTTGGTAAAATCTTCTTTCAATGTAGAAGTCCGCAGCTTTAGAGCGTCCTGGATTTGTCTCATGCCTGAAACATGAGTAGAATACAATGCCATTAAGACCATTTAAGTAGAATTATTAAATGATTTGCACAACCAGCGTTTCAGAGCACGCTGCGTAAAGCTTGTCTTATAACAAAAAATATAGTTTAGAATGTGATCATAACATTTTTTTTTTATAAAAAAGTGTTGGTTGTGAAAGATAGAAAGCTTGAATAATGCCCATATTTTTTTTTAAATTCTATCTCCTTCATGCTCAGGATTTTTCAGTACTCTTGGAACTTATTACTTTGTGAGGTTTTCTTTCGATTAGTGAAATGTATTTCAGAATTCCAAAATTAAATTGAGATAGTGAAGTAACATACAATGAAATCAGAATCACATGACTCTCGTATACCATAGGTATATCTTAGTTGCTCCTTTACATACCTAACACACACACGTATGTAGGTATGTGTGTTTTTGGGGGCAAAGTTACATATTTTTGTGTACAGAACATCCTCAGCCAAAACAAATGTTAAGCATTTATCAGTGGGAATGTCAGACTTAAGTCTTTTTGTCTCGACTACCTATGCACTACGTGTTAAATTACCATTACTTTACTCACAGAAACTTAAAAATTATGACTTTACAATGACTTTTCGGGAGCGCCTCGATTACTTTTGGATTCTATAATATATACATAACTACCCACAATAATTCCTATTTACATGATTGAACTCTAAATCGCACCTATTTTACAGTCAATTTTTACATAAAGCACCTCAACCATAATATTTTTATTTTTTTTTTAACTTTTCTAATCAACTTCCCGTTCGCTTACTATCAATCATTATCTATCATCCATCAGCTGCTTACATTTTTCCACCTGCTCCAGCACTCGATCAATGCGATCGCTGAGTATCTTAATTGATTTATCCGGCAAAGCTGGCAGCACATCCCGCACTTCGTCGCTCGCCGTCTGCTCGAACAATTCCCGCAGCTTGCGTCCCGCACCGGCCGCACGCAGTTGATGCAGTGCTTGTATGGTGGGCTCACGGAATACGCACAAATTGTTCAGCAGCAGACCGTGGTAGGCCTCGTATTTCTTGAGCAGTCTATAGCCGTGCAGCAAACCGGATTCGTTGTCGAGAAAGATAAGTAGTTGTGAATTAGATTGGCGTGCCAAATTATGCGCAGGCGCGGCCATAATTTCCGCATTCCACTGATAGTTGTAGAGATTGTTAACAACGCGATCGAGGTTCGCTATCAAATAGTCGAAGACAATCAAATCCGACCATTGAGCGAGCTCAACCAGCCGCTCCAGAGCGAGTGAGGTTGGCGTGACTAATATATCCAGCGACGAATCAGAGAAGGCAGACATCGGTGGGCTCGGCGCTTGAACGCTATTGCCAGAACCAAACGAGTCGCGTCCACTTTCAGCCACCAAACTTTCAGCCAACAAAGGCTGTGGCGCTGTGGCCACTTTGACAGATGTCAAAGCCCGAGTAATATTCCATACATCGTGTTTGTTCAAATGTCGATCGAGCGGTTGGAATGGCTGAGGTATGCCGGCGGGCTCGAGATTGGGCAGCCAACGCGTCAGCACCACCGGACGCTGCTGCTGCCACTGCGCTTCTGTTATGTCGTGCACCACGTTGGACCACTTCTCCGTCTCACCATTCACAGTTACCACGGCACTAGGCGCGAGGTTGCTCATATTCAGCAAGCGACCTAGATAGAATGAGAAGATTTCGCCTTGGATTTGGTCGGTGTTTTGGCGGTAGCGCGCACAAGCGCGTGTGCCGTCGCTGAAGACCATCATGCGGTTTTGCATGCGTCCGCAGCCTGGTTCGAGGCGTTGCACCACAGCTGGCGATGTCACATAAGCATTCCAATCACGCGTGTCTTGTGCGCTGAAGCCTTTTGGTAGGGCGCGTTCTACCTGCTCGCCCCAGAAGATGTTTGAGTTAATGATGCCCAGCAAGCGGCGCTCAAGCGGATGTTTCTTCTTCTGCACTGTGGGCCGTTGGAGTGTTTGCTTCGTTAACACAACAGCGGGGGCAGAGTCGAAAGCCGTGCTTGGTTTCGAAGCATATTGGCCTAATGGTTGTCCCAGAGGCTTATCTATGATGTTATGCACCGTAAAAGAAGACCGTCTTTGCGCACTTAAATGTACGTTGTCACTTAATATTTCTTCAGCGTTGACTCTCGCATGTCTGTCACTGATGAAGGCCACCGAAAACGGGCTGAGCGGACCAACACTGAGATCGCCAATCGTAGCTGTCGATGTATGATTGCGCTGTGGCTTGTCGCGAGGCAGTGGTTTCCAATACAAATCAGCGGCTATGCTCGGCGCAAGTTTGTTATCTAAACTTTTTGAGCTATCTGGAGACGTATGCTCTATAAGCGGCCCCGCTTTTTGCGCACTTGACATATTTAAAAATACATGACGAAGATCAAGCATTGGCACGAAGACGCCAAGCAGCAGGCCGAAGATGAAGGCGACCATAATACAGAGCAGGCAAGTCTGTCGCTGAAACCAGCGCCGTCGACTAAGCGGCAATAGCGTGAAGGACGCCGATGATTCACTGCTGGGATAGCGATACGGCGGCGGCATGACGCTCAGACTGTGCTGCAGTGAGCCAGCGGCTGCGTTATCGGCGCCGTGCGTAATATAGGCGGCGCTGTTAATTATAAGCTCTGGAGGTTGGACTTTGGCGTACGACGTGTCCAAATGTTTTTCGTTATCTCCGATGGATGGTTGACAAGTTCGATTAGTCGAATTATTGTTGGCTTGTGTTGCGTTTTGGAATTCGTCATGCATGGTTTTGTATTGATTTTGCGAATGGTCGGAAGCTTTAAGCTTAAATTTGGCGGTGAAAGTTCGAATGATGTTGGAATGAAAGCTCGAACTCTCAGCGTTGTTAGTGCTTGCTTTGCTCGGGTAGCTTGTCATGCTGGCACCATTTTCCAGTTTTGCTTTGGTTCACTAAATGTTTTCTGATTGAATAGACGTTTTAAGTTGCGAAATAGCCCTTTCACTCGAAGAGACTTTTATTGTTCTTCCTTGGTAGGATTTCACTGTGTCTGTAATTGAAAAACTTTTATGACACACAAAGTTTATTTAGCTATGCGCGCAACAAAAGCTTGTCTTGCATATTTGATCGATACATATATGGTATGGTACTGCAGATTTACGACACAGTTTTTATATTAAATTTTTTTTTTATTTTTCATTGTACATTGCCATTTGCACTTATGAAGATTTTTATTATTCAATTCAATCAGCATTAAAGTTAGAATGAGTTGTCAAACACCAGATATTTTTAATGGATGCTTGTATGTGCACATTCGATATTTTCAATTAAGCTGTAAGCACTTGGATTTGCATTAATTTTTTGCCTTGAGTATGGTTTATAAAATGTTCACAAATGCCTTTTTATTATGTTGAAGGTCGCCGGAGTATTCACCATTTAATTTTCTATTTCTCACGACTTTTTAAGTTATTCCGTGTATATTTTGGATAGTAGATTTTTCACCATTTCCACCGTAGCCGTCGGTACGATTATCAGACGTTGCTGCTCAAAGGTTTTAAGGGCACATAAAACACATTAGTCTTTGTTCCTTACATTGGATGGCATAATTTTTGCTATCTGCGACAGTTTGCAAGCGACGTATGAACCATAAAATTGCATAAAAATGTGTCATAGACGTACGTGCATATTTATGTTTGTATGCTCAAACATTCACCGTTCCGTGGCAAACCGTGTGGCCGATACCGACATTCGACTTTGAAGCTGGGAAGTAACAGCAAATTACACGACTGCGTTTCACCAAGTACTACACACACAAGTTACTTAAGTAAGCATCGCTTGCCGTGCGCTAGTTCTAGTTCTGCACAATTTTTAAATACAAAAAAAAAATCGTAAGCACAGCTTGCAATTTCGTACTATTCGCACCCATTTTTTAGTTCACTCGAATTGAAAACCATGCCAGAAGTTTCCCATTAATTCTACCAACACATTGTTTTTTCAATTAGCACCGTGTAAAAGTTTTCCGCTTTTCGTACCGCACGCAACGAAATCCAACTGCAGACTGACTTAGAATTGCTCGCTGCACAACATTAAAGCAGCACTGGGCGCCAGCCACCGTCACCAACACTCTTCACTCATAGCCAGACAGCCAGCCGGCCGGCCAGCCAACAGGCGCTCGCTCACAGCCCTCGCTCGCCGATCCGCACCACATTCACGCGCATTCATTCATTGACTCACAAACACCAGCACGGACCACCTGAGTATCGAATGCACCACCGAAACAGGCAGAGCAAGGCAAAAGAAGGTAGGACATTTTGCACCAACAATCAGTCGGACCGGGCCACACTGCCTGGCTGGCTGGCTGGCTGGTTGGGGACAGTTTCAAATATTTGCTGTTTGTTGGAATGTGTGTGCGCTTGTTTTTTTTTCGTGCGGGGCATGCAACGTGCGCCACTGTGTTTACTAACAAACACACATGCGCGCGTCAATCGACCAGCGAAGAGATTACCTGTACTACGCGTGTATTGGTGAGTTGAGATTTCCGATCTCCGGCTCCGATTGCAGTCGTCGTCGTCGTTGTCGTGGTCGTCGTGGTCGTTGCTACAATTAAGAATGTGTGAAAAAGAGCATAAACGTCCGTAAATATTAACTAATTGCTCTTGTTTTGCCCCCACTTTAGTTGATGTAAGTTCATCGGTTGTTATACAACAATATATTTTTATGAGTTGGTTAGGCAGTCAGTGTACACTGAAGCTTTCCAAACATAATTAAGCTGTCGTGTGAAGTATTCTAAATTTTGTTTCAAATAGCTGATGATTGCACTATATACATACATATCTAATTTATGTGCACACTTTTGTATAAATTTATGTATTGTGTACAGAATAATCATTGCAAACGGCACACCCAGCGTGGGAAGATGAGTGTGATTAAAAAATCGAGAATTTGTTAAAAGCTTCGTTGGAAGTTTGTGTCTTAAGTCTTTTGTTTGTTGTCGTTTGCGGCGGCGGGCTATTGGCTATTGGCTCGTTTCAAAAACATGTATTTATATATTAATATCTGAAATAAATACATTATTTGCACTACATATGTATTGAAAAAGAATTTCTTTGAATGCATACAACAAAATTATAATAATTAATTAAAATAAGAACAGAGTTATAGAAGAGAGTTTTTGAGCTAACAGCGGATATGCTCAGAAAATGTGTGGCAACTGTGTAAACGGTTAAAAAAAAGGTGATTTTATTGAATACTAAACAAAGAAAGAAATAGTCAATAATATAAAACGTATATATTTCGATTATCTGCGCAGAACCGCTGAAGTTCAAGATTTCTGTTTGTTGAGCGATCGAATTTCTCCGTTTTGTTTAAATTTGAGCTAATTTGTGTCTTATTAAACACCGATCTATATTAAAAAATCGTGTTCTTAGCTTATTATGGAAGACAATTTTAAGTAAAAAAAAATATTGAACTTATTATTTTGTTAAGTATTTCTGAGCAGTTTAGTTCTAAATGGAGGCACGTTAGTTAAATGTAAAGAAAAAATATATAAAATCTCTTTAGATTACAAAAAAAAACTCAATTAGTTTTTAGTGTTTTAAAAATAAGTAACAGCTATTCCCTAAATTCTGCCGTAAACCATTGCACATACACAAGTTTTAAAGCACTCAGCTACAAGAGATGAATAGTTTGGTCAGAGGCTTTAGCAGTGAACAACTTTGTGGAAGATTACATAGAATTGAGAATTGTTAGAGCAGCGGCCGTCTTCAAAAGAGATATATATTTATATGACTTTGTTTGCTTTCTATTTATTCCAGCTGACGCAGATATTCCAAGTCAGATGCGAAGGATGGCACACCCAGCGTAGGAAGATCGAGAATTTGTTAAAAGCTTCGTTGGAAGTTTGTGTCTTAAGTCTTTTGTTTGCTATCGGCGAGGTATTAGCTCGTTTCAAAAACATGTACTAATATTTAAAATAAAAAAAATGCCTGTGCTAATTATTAATAACGAAATTCTTACTTTTTTTGATTTTTGGGGCGCCTTTAGACGAACTAACGTATTTCACTATTCACGTATTTTAGAACCCTCATTGGTCGGGACAGTGTTGACAGATCTTGGCGTCGGCTCGCGACTGCGGACGCTTGTAGACAAATACTAGAATGCGGGGTAGTTAAGGTTAATCCGGTTGGAGTAGCGACGAGTAGGTTTGTCAGCAGGCATACGCCTGCTAGCAGCCATCAGACTCCGGAAATTATCCAGCTGGAAAACAGACCCCGTGGTCATACTAAAATTTGGATGGGCTTCGGCCGCCGGAATTAACGGACTACTGAGTGCCAACCACATCCTGCAAATCCCTAGCAGGAATCAACGACCACAGCACTTACTGCATTGCTACACTGGAGGTTCTAAAATGGAAACCGAAACCGGAAGGAGAGTTTACTAAGAACAAATAGGAGTAAAAAAATCTTTCCGCCTAGCCTCTTCCAAACCGTACTGCCGGCCATTTTGTTTTAATGAAATTCTGTTTCAATATTTTTCATAAATTGTTTTGTTAAGCAGCCATTTTTTATCGAAATATTTTGTTTATAGTTATTGGCTTACAAAAAAAAAAAACCAAATGAGATATTTTAATTTATTTGTTCAGTCCGGAATTTAAAAAAACTGTAATTTGCAACAGAAATTGATTTAAGTAACTGCAATCTTGTCCAAAAACTGTAACTGACAGTTACAACTGGTAATCTGGCAACATTGCCACCTACCGTCACTTTGATCTCACCTAACCCCAACATAGATCTTCTAAAAGACAAATTAAAATAAAAAAATCTATCGAAAGCGGTGCTACAAATTAGTTGTTTAGTTTAAAGTTAAAACTCAATATGGAGGCATTTTTGGTAGTACGATGGTTGCAATTTCAATTTTAAGCATAACGAATACTTATTTCAATACCTTCACTGACTACGTCAAGCATTTTTGAGAAAACTGTATATCTGGAATATTAATTTAAGGGCTGGATAAATATTTTCATAACCTTTCAAGTGCACAACAATATAAATTTCACAGAAAGGCCAAGTCTAAAGTGAATTATAACGGGTGATTTTTTTGAGGTTAGGATTTTCATGCATTAGTATTTGACAGATCACGTGGGATTTCAGACATGGTGTCAAAGAGAAAGATGCTCAGTATGCTTTGACATTTCATCATGAATAGACTTACTAACGAGCAACGCTTGCAAATCATTGAATTTTATTACCAAAATCAGTGTTCGGTTCGCTTTACGTCCGATTTATGGTCTACATAATCGACCAAGTGAGCAAACAATTAATGCGATTGTGACCAAGTTTCGCACTCAGTTTACTTTATTGGACATTAAACCAACCACACGAATGCGTACAGTGCGTACAGAAGAGAATATTGCGTCTGTTTCTGAGAGTGTTGCTGAAGACCGTGAAATGTCGATTCGTCGCCGTTCGCAGCAATTGGGTTTGCGAAACACATTTCGAACCGAACACTGATTTTGGTAATAAAATTCAATGATTTGCAAGCGTTGCTCGTTAGTAAGTCTATTCATGATGAAATGTCAAAGCATACTGAGCATCTTTCTCTTTGACACCATGTCTGAAATCCCACGTGATCTGTCAAATACTAATGCATGAAAATCCTAACCTCAAAAAAATCACCCGTTAAATTTTCAACCACATTTTGGAGCTAATAGCTGACAGACGATTCTGACGCATATCTAACAGATGTCTGACCAAATAATCATGGAAAATAAGAATTATCAGACGTGTCTGCCCGAAATCGGACAGAATTCGATCAGACATATCGGATAAGGAAATAAAAAAAAAATTTCGAGACATTTCGCCCAGAAATCTATAAGAAACTTGTAAAACTTGTCTAAATAGTCAACTTTTTATTCCGACTTGTCTGATATCAGAAATTGTCTGGCAAATGTGCTAGCTGGGAATACTATCGCATGATACAATATGTACTATCGTAAATATTGTTTATAAACATTTGTACTTTGTCATTTGGCATTTGAAGTAGAATTACGTTTTTACGATATTAAAAAAAAATATACATAAAACGATTTTTTTTTTTTTTTGTTAAAGAAATCAAAATTGAAAATATGTGCGAGAATTTTTAAGCTGAAGTTGTTGTAATAAATTCATAATAATTGTGTGTTAATGCAACGTCTTGCAACAAAACGAAAGCAACGAAAATCAGTTGTCCGCAACAACAACAAGCCTGAGGCAGAAACGGTGCATTTAATTCAACTTCCGATTTTCGGGAAAATCATAAATTCTGAGGACAGAAAATAATTAGCAATTGACGTCATCGTTTGGTTTTTATATGTATATGTATGTTTATACATCTGTAAAAGCGCACTACAAATCTAATTGTTGCAAAATTTAACAAAAAAGCCAAATGGCCACTTTCCAATTCGACATACGCAGCCTCTTTCCCCAGCCCATTGTCAAGGTCACCTCAAACTTATTGCCGCACACATTTCACGGCGATCAGCGTCAGATCGTAGCTACTTCCGCAAAGATGGCAGCTATCATCGATCATCTGGGACAACTCTCAGCCGTGGCACAAAATCTGACTAAACCAGTTACAACTGCACAGAAACTTCGCTCGTCCGACAATCAAGTCGTCTATCTAATGGCCGATGTGGGCGACTGCGATGGGCGTGGGGATGAAGTCATCGGTTTGCTAAAGATCGGCACCAAAGATTTGTATCTGTTTGATGAATTTGGTGAAACCAGAAAAGTCGACAAAGCTCCCTGCATACTGGATTTTTATATACACGATTCCCGACAGCGCACAGGTTTGGGGAAGAAACTCTTTCAAACCATGTTGAGCGAGGAGAAGTGGGTGCCCGTCAAATGCTCGGTGGATCGGCCATCCGAAAAGCTGTTGGGATTCCTCAAGAAACATTACGGTCTGGAACGTGCAATACCACAGGCGAATCATTTTGTACTCTACGACGGATTCTTTGAGCGCGAGGGGGAGGGCAGCAACGAGAAGGCAAGTGATGTGACGCGGTCACGAAAAATGCTTATGGCCAATAGATATCTGTGAATGGGGTAGCCATATGAGCAGTTTGTAAGGAAGGGGACATGGATTAAGAATTAGGTAACGACCATAGGAAGCATTGACCTTAAGCAAGTATTTTAGTATATTTCATGAAAATATGAAAATTCAATCTTTAATGGAGCGTTGTTGTTTACTAAATTTAGAGCAGCTTTTAATAACGCATCTATGTATGTGTCTACATATGTACATATATATCCTACCACTAATATGCATTAACCATAAATAACTATGTAATGTGCATCTATGCATAAAAAAAAAAAAATTACAAAACCATGTGACATATTCAACTGTTTTGCCTTAATTTTCTATAGAACAACTTTTGTTTTAATTGCCATAAAAAATGCTGTATTCCCTACGTAAACATGAAAATATTGACAGATTTTAGGAGCCCAAGAAAAAACGATATCCAATCACAATATAAACATACAAATTTATTAAGTTCTGTTAACGAAGGAAAAAAAAACGAAACGCCTGGTTAAGCCAGACCCAATTGTGCGAGTATTTATTTATTACCCGTCTCTCACTAATCTAAATTCAACCGGTGATGGTTTTGTATTTTTACTTTTCACTAAAGAGCGCTCCCAAGAGTTGAACGTCAAGCGCCGAAAGAGCAAAGGCAGTTTTTAAGAGTTCAAGGTAGAGACGCGCACAACGCTTACGCTTACACTCACATCGCTCAGATGTTGTTGGCTCTAGCCGTTTGTTCTTTGTTTAATAACAATTTGTCACAGATTGAAATTGCCCGTTGAAACAAGTTTTCGTACCGGACAAATAAAAGTTTGCTTGCCACAACAATCCTGTCTTTCAACGCTGAGTAGCGGCTAAGCGTTAAAGCCAGCTCTAAGTGAATTGTAAACATAGGCGCGTTTTACTTGGGAAGTCACGTGGTGGTGAGCTATGCAAAATGTGAAGTGTGGTGTGTACATACAGATTGGTAAGTACTTGGTCAAGTTGCAAGTTATTTTTTAATAAGTCAGTAGCATCAGGTAAAAATTAAGTTGGCGATGCTTGGAGCAAGAAAAAATCACGATGTGAAACAGAAAAGTAGCATAGTGTAAAGTGTTTTAATTAAATACTAGTAAATAAATTCTATTTAAGTTTCAGAGGTTCTTGAGCACACTTTTATTGATCGTCGGTCTTGTTATCGTTGCGATTTCAAATTCTACTAAATATACCCACTGGGAAAATAGGTAAGCACCTTACGAGGTAAGCCATGTTTTCTTTCAGTTTTTAGTATCAAAATTGTCATCATGGCCAATGCCATCAGTTCTCTTCCTTTGGTTTGACTTTATTGAAGTACAGCATGTTCCTAAAGCTAGGTCGAATCCTATTAGTTGAGCTTGATGACAACGATTGAAGGATTAGCTGATCCAGGCGGGGCTAAGAAGCCGCTACAACAATTACAACTACGCCAAAATGGCAGAATGTTCATTGTGAGGTCATCGATGAGGTTATTCACGGCGACCAATTAAATGCTGGCCCATGAAGCTTAAGCTCAGACATTGGGCTTCATGTAAACATAAAAAGTTAGCCTAAGTTTTTGCAGTGATGAAATAAGCTCAAGGTCTGGAATTTGTACAGGAAATCGAATCGGAGCTTAGGCTCACCTTTTGTGCATAAGGCCCTCTATTTCTGTAGTACTAACGAGGTAGGAGCTTAAGCTCAAATATTTTTCAATGAAAACTTAGTCGGAGTTTGGGCTCACTTTAGCTCCAGGTAAGTACTGTGACAATATACATATATATGTACTACATGCGTATGTATGGATGTACAGAGGTGCATAATCTTTACAAATATTAACTAAATGTGGACATATGTATGTGTGTAATCACCTGCATAAATTGTTTGTATGTATGAACGTTTGAACATTATTATTATATGAACGTATAATAAATGGAAGGGCTGCCGAACTTGGTACTTACTATTTATCTCTCATCTCGACCTCACTCCCACTGGCAAAGAGCCGCATCGCCAAGCTCAATCTCTGCAAGTAATCTCTTAAAATTGTCATTGTCTGCTATTCGAACGCTCTTTTTAGCCCTTCACTCACATAAACAACAACACTTTGTTCCATACGCCTCTTCTCAATGCTGAAATGTGTCCTCGCAATTTGTGTGTATTTTTTATTGCCGCCTTAATAAAATTGTGCACCTCCTCCCCTTGTCACTCCTGCAGCTCGTTGCGTTTGCTGATTACTCAAAAGTGTTTTTCGAGGCGTTTATAAATGAGTGCGACTGCTGTGACAATCGAGCGAGCCACAGAGCGAAGCGACAAGCAAACGCACAGACGGACGGACTGCAACAGACTACAGACAGACTTTAGACGACTACCAACTAAGCAGTCATCAAACTAGCCAAGTGCGAATAGAGTCCACTGTATTCGTCTATGAAAAAGCTTCGTTTTTTATGATGTTTGATGAGTGTGTATGGGGTGTAATAAAATGTTCATTTTTCGTCTAATGATGAGGTGTTCCTGTAATCTTGTATGCTTTACCTCGACTGATACTCGCACTAATGAGAGATTATAAATTATAGAAATATTACCCATCTTTTCAAATGAGATCGCATGCATATATATTGATATATGTATGTAGGTATATACATTTGTAAATTGCATATCTATCTCTCCATAACTATGTACGTACATCGATATATCGAAATTCACCTTGATAACTTCTATAATACCCGTACATACGTAGTTAATAAGAACTATGTATGTAGAATGTAATCAGAAAATCTGTTGAGATTCAGAAATTGTCCTGGGAAGTATTGATAATGTTGTAGCATTTAGCCATTGAGAATAATCAGAACACCTAAGAAAAACGCCTAAATGAAACACTGTGCTTCTTTTGAACTTAGGAGATTTGCTTTTAATTGATTATAGAATAGATTGACACTTACATATACAGTTGTGGTCAGCTGATTAAGTCAAGTGATACTTTTTTCTTTAGTTTTGGCTATTTTTCTCTTGTTTATTTAATGTTTACATTTTTTTATAAAATTCTAGCACTTTACCTTACCAACCCCACATAAATCCACATTCCAAACTTCGTACAAAAATTATGAAAATTCAAAAAACTTTAACATTTGCACCCAAAAATTTTAAACTTTTTATTTAGAATTTTTAGAAAACTTTAGGGTATGCAGTTTTGTAGCTCATTAACTTCTGGTAGGTTTAAGTTCAAATTTCAAGATGCTAGAAAATCCCGTTTATTTTTAATATATTTTTTTTTTTGCTAATGGTGCTAAGCATTTTCTCCCATACAAATTAATTTGTCGAGCATATTTTATATGGGGGACAATGCATAACACCGCCAGGCAAAAAAAAATTATTAAAACTCAACGCGATACTCTCATCGAAACTGTTTTTTTCTTAAATTTCTCCTTAATCTACGGCAGCGAGGATTGTGCGGGATGTCCCGCTTAGCTGCATTTTCATCAAGGACTTATTTTTCTACACTGATTACGAGGTTTTCAGTTTTAATTTTTCGTAGAGCGGTTGTTTCTTCGTGACTTAGTCATACATAAGAATTTATAACTCTTTATAACTACGACTGGATAGTTTATTGACTCGGCTTCGGACTACTGAAGAGATGTCCCAGTCTTTGCCAATTCATCAGCTCACACATTGCCGTATTTTTCCCTATGGCTACTTCCGCTTAGGAGAGATGTCCAGAATTTCAGAGAGTACACCCTCGTTCATACCGTATTCCATCATGGACTCTTGTGTATAGATTCCAGCTGAATTCTCCTTGATTACCCATTCCCGTCTAGAGGGATACTTCACCTGAAAGCTAACGTAGGAATTTTGGCTTAATTCTGAGTTGTCAAGAGTACCACTATGTCGATATTGCTGGAACTTCAAAATCCTGAATCTTTGAGTCTGATCGTAGATATCGCGCATGTGCGCAGAATCAATTTATGTGCATCGATAGGACACGACTTAGTGGATCCTATAGCACCTGCACAAGCTGCTCGCTGAACGCTACGTACTTCTCTGACGTTGTATTGCTGTTCCTAAGCGCATTTTTGATGCCAAAGAGTATAACCTGAACAATGATCCCTCTAAGGTTTCACTTATTCTTGAAGAAAAGAGACCAGCCTCACCCTTTTCCTAGCCTTCTAGGCGGATGTCGTTGATTGTCACTATCCAGAGCAACGACGTTCGAAGGCCTCCTTGGGGAGCAGTATTACTGCATATAGGGTCGGCAGCTTGACGTTTTCGAGACTTTTCTCAAAAAGTACACCTGTCATTTCTGAACCTTAAAAACCCCGCACGAGCGATAAAATTAACTTTAACGAAGACAGAGAGGCTATGCATCAAAAACTCAATGGACTTCATTTAAAATTTCATGGGAATCCAAATGACTTTTGAAGCTTCCCAATATTTAAAGTTCAAATTGCTCTACGCACACATGGATGCGTGCTACCTAAAGCTTAATGACTTACGTGAATCAATTTGAACAGCACTCTTTTCTAATAAGAAAACAATTACGGTTCTATAAACTCTTAATGTTTGGCAATTATCGTTTATCAACAACCGAACAATTTTAGATAACCTTTGAAATTAAAAATGAAAACTACTTTTAATTCTACAATTTTAGGCGAAACGAATTTCTAATGTCTTCTTTAAACATTTCCAATTGCGTAGAAAACTCCATTCACATGGCGAGAGTGCGCGAAAGCACTTGTAACCCCACATTGCATTGTGTACCCTCTACTACATATGAACTTGTATGAGTATAGACAAAGACAGCTGCAGTGAGAGTGAATTCAGTGAATGCCCATAATAATGAGTGCTTTCGTTACAGTTTTACTAATGGTACAATGAAATGCTGTCAAAATTCAAAGCAAACATCATTTTTCATAATCATCATCAAATATTTAGGTAACAACAACAGCACACTTATCGGAGTTTCGAGTTCGGTTATCCGCACCGGGATAGGTATGTACATAGGTGGCTTGGGGGCAGGACGCAGAAGAAGT